GAAAACTATAGGAAAAGCTAGTAATAGGAGATATTGAATGTCATAGTTTGAGTCCAGTGTCTTCATAGCTGCTTATGAGCAAATCATGAAAATGTGGGTAATATACCATCAGAAATTAAGTAAGTGAACAGCCGTTGGGTGGAATGTACTTGGAAAATGCTTGGTTCTTCAAATTAAGCAGAAGAGTGTCCTGATAAAAATTAATGAGTGTAATTTTAGTGTAATTGGTGTCAGTATCAACAGATGAATGAGGTAGGGAGAAAAGGATGAGGCTCATTGAGGGAAAGTGTAGTTCATTTATACTGGAAAAGCTACATTTAAGGGAAAAGCATCTTGGGGGAAAGATCATATATGTCCATGTATGCAGGAGAGCTACAAATGCCCTGGCGAACCACACACTCGCTGAGCATGAGTCAATCATGGACTCATGTTAAAAAAAGAAATCTAGAAACACTTGAATTTTAGAAACTGGGACAAAAGATAAACAAGTTTTTTTCCAGACTTGGGTAATACGGAAGAATTTAGCAACGTATATTACTGCTTTGTGTGTGTGTGTGTGTGATGTGTGTAGGGTGGCGGGGGGCAAGCTTGGAGTCGGTCTGTAACATACTCCAATTCTCTTTGCACTTTGGTTTATCAGATGTCATGGATTGCAATCCCCTGACATATACCCTCTGTTTCTTCACCATGAGCCCCCCTCCCCTGGGGGAGCATCAGATTCCTTACCAACCTTTTGGAGCAGCTGAGTGAGTCCCACTCTCTGGCAATAAGAGGGAACTTGAGCTGTTAATAGAGTTAAAGTGATTTTTAAAAAACCTCCAGAGACTACAATAATCCCATTAACTCGGTATCCATCCAAAGTGACCTCTCTACCCTTTCAGTTATTGATTCATCCTGGGCAGACAGCTAGCTCCGAGTGGGTGTGGGCGGGGTAGAGAAGGTGAGGTATCTCAGGGGGCCCATATGCATGGCCTTGCTGTAACCTGCTCCTGATGGATCTAGAATGTGGAATCTTCAGAGCAAGGAGGATTGAATGAGATCATGTCTGGACAGTTCCCCGGATATTTGGAAAGTATTAAAATGGGTTTTATGCTTAAGCATCTACTAGAATAGAATTGCATAATTATTGTAAGGAACCGTAGAAATTCATGGACTTCTTTTACAAATATTTGAGGAAATTGAAGGCCAGCAGAAGTAAAAGTGACATCATAAGACAGTTAGTAGCTTATAATCACAGATTAATGAAACTTGTGCTAAAGCCAATAGGTTACTCGAGACTGTGTCTTAAAGCAGAAATAAAATCTGTCTGTGCTTTATCAATATCAGGAAAATAGCCTCCAAGACCTGTATGGAGTCTGGCAGGTATCACAGAGAGCTCATGAGTTGGGACTGAGAGGGACTGTGGCAAACTGGAGAATACACCTGTTCTGTTTAAAGGTGGCAGGTTATCCGCGTGTGGGAAGGCAGGCCAAGTATTGCTAGACCCATTCATTTTCCAAGAGAAGTTAGAAATGGGTCAACTTTGTGTTGACCAAATAGAACATGTTGGATGGGCTGAATTTGGCCTGAGGAATGACCCTGTTCCCGGTGGCTACCTAGGTCTATGGGCTGAGCATAAAGGAATTCATCTAACTCGTGAATAGAAGCAGCCAAGTATAAGTTTTAGTCTCTACAGATTTTTCAAGATATGATTCTGGCTGATAGTGTCATTATCCAAGTAGTACATTTATCTCTTTCATTGTTCACTCACAAGGAAAGTTTTTAATGAGAAGTGGAAAAGGAAAGAGGCAGGGGGCCTGGAAGGAACCACCAACTGGTGATCTGCTTTTGCATAATCAAGAGTTGGCAGGTGGTGTGTGTAGACGAATGTGTCCTTTCTGGTACTTTCATGTCCATCTGGAAATTAACAAAGTGAAGATTCGTGCCAAGATCCAGACCTGAGACAGTGAAAAAAGAACATCAACAATTTCGGAACAAATGCCTCCCTGTGAATGGCTTTTTAAAAAAAGAAGCCCTCTAAATCTCTGCCTACAGAATTATTTTTCCAGCAACCAACTGGGAGTATCCAAGGTTTAAGGAATAAGCTAAATGTTGAAAGCATCTCATTGTAGGATTATTGCAATGCTCTCTCTGTTTCTGCCTTCCCCACCCAGCCAGTCTGGTGTCAAAACAGCAGCCAGCCCTTTTAAAACATTCATCACTCAGTTCATCTCTCTTTTAGACGCACAAGACTCCAGTGGCTAAATGCCTTTCAGTGTCCCAAAAGGCTTTAGATAGTCCGTTCCCATCCAGCCTTCCCATTACTCCCCTGACCTCCCCTCCTGCTACTCACCACGTGCTCACTCTGCCCAGCCACACTGGCCTCCTTGCTGTTCTAAAACCACTCTGGCATGCTCCCTTCTAAGAGCCGTTGCTTTTGATTTTCTCTGCTTAGAAAATTCTTCCCCCAATACCCCAAGGCTACCCGTAGTGCTTTTCAGAGAAACCTCGCCTAGTGAGAATCGTCACACATACCCCATTGCTTCCAGCACTCCCTATCCTCATCTCTAATTTTTAAAAGTACTTGTCCCCAGTTTCTAATTATACGCATACCCCATTGCTTCCAGCACTCCCTATCCTCATCTCCACTTTAATTTTTAAAAGTACTTGTCCCCAGTTTCTAACTATACATTTTCCTTTTGTTTCCCCTTTTCTCTAAGCTCCATGAGTGCAGCTATTTTTTTTTTTTTAGTTTTTTAAAATATGTTGTTATTGATTTTAGAGAGAGGGAGAGGGAGAGAGAAACATCAATGAGAGAAACATCCATCCACTGCCTTTGGCATGCCCCCTACTGGGCATCAAGTCCGAGACCTGGGCATGTGCCCTGACCGGGATCGAGCCAATGACCTCTTGGTGCATGGGATGATGCTCAACCATCTGAGCCACACCGCCGGGCAAGCGCAGACGTTTTCGTCTGTTTTGTTCACTGTACATTTGTGCCTAAAACAGTGCCTAAAAACATAGTAAGTGCTTGACAAGTATTTGTTAATAATTTTGAGGTTTTCCCCCCTTCTGTGCTAGGGATGGTGGTCTTTGTTGTGCTGGATAGATACACCTCTTGCTACTGAATATTGGTGTTTTTAGCATTTCCATTAATAGACTTTGATTTCTATGCCAATTCTACTTCCTAAACATATCTTGAATTTTTTGCTTTTCTCCTTCTCCAGGTCTTTTTCTTTGGTTAAAACCATCACAACTCCTTGCTTTCCCTGTCTACCCTTGTTCCCTCCACGCAGTATCACTCAGCAGTCAGAATGATCTGTCTAAAATCTAAACCTGGTCATTTACCATTCATTCCTGATTTAAAATCCTTCAGCGGTTTCCATTGCCCTTCATATAAAACTCAATATCCTTACCCTATCCCACAAGGCCAGACGAAGTCTGGTCCCAATCAGATTTTCTCTGTTCCTTTCCGACTCAGGTTCTTTGCTGTTCCCTCATGTTGGAATACTCTTCTGTTCCCATTTTTCATCTGGTTGACATTCTCTCTCTTTTCTTTAATTCTCACTCAAGAATATTTTTCTTTTCTTTCCTTTTTATTTTGCTGCAAAAAGCTTTATTGTTTCATTTGGTCCAATGCATGGAGAGGGCTTCAGGGTGGTTAAAAGAATGGTTAGTAGTTTCAGGAAGAGGCTCAGGTAAAAGCCAGACACCAGGGGATGTAGAGGGGCCTCTCACAAGTCGTGCTTGTGGGTGAGTCTTTCGAAGAGATATTCGCCCAGCCCAGCCTGGGGGCCAGCGGCCTGCGGAGGTGAGGCAGATGTCGCCCATCTTCTTGATGAGTTTCACCTCCTCACCCCGGAAGTGGTTCTCCAGGAAGTCGCAGAGTTGAGGGTCAGCACGGGTAGAACCAAGGGCACGCCGCTCCAAAAGGGCCTGGTTCCGGTTCCTCTCTAAGGCCAGGGTGGCTTCCATGGCTTCTTGAGTTTTGCCCACTCATCTTGGGAAGGCTTCAGCATGTCCTGGAAGAGAATGTGGCCACCACGCTTGTTTTGCAACTTTAAGAGATGCTCAGCACCCTCGGGCTTCTTTTTAGAAGTCGCCCCCCACCCTCGAGAGCCACATTGTCTCAGTAAAAATAGAAACCCAGAGAGCGGTAGGCGTGGGAGGCCCACAGATGCAGGTTGGCCAGGTGGTTGACCGCAGCCTCCACCTCGGTGGAATAATTCTGACGAATTTGGGAGCTCATGGCTGTTCAGCAATAAGGAGTTAAGGTAGAAAAAAAACCAGTGTGCGGCTGGTCCCCGAGGTGGGTCTGAAGGTGGTGACTGGATAAGACACAGGAGAGGGGTCGGAGGCTGGAAGAAGGGGCGTCCCTGGGTCTGTTCCGTCCAAACACTGTTGAAGCAAGAGACAGAGCGGGGACTGACGATACTTTTCTGTTGATTTTTAGAGAGAGTGGAAGAGAGAGGGAAAGACAGAGAGAAATATCCATGTGAGAGAAACACAACGATTGGTTGCCTCCTGCACACACCCTGACCAGGGCCCAGGCTGGGGAGGAGCCTGCAACTGAGGTATGTGCCCTTGACCAGAATCGAATTCGGGACCCTTTGGGCCGCAGGCCGATGCTCTATCCACTGAGCCAAAAGGGCTAGGGCATGGTTGACGTTCTCTTTATCTCAGTTTTAATGTCCCCTATTCTGAGTTTCTTTCAGTCTCTCTACTAGTTAACTTACTCTGCATTTTCCTTCATAGCATTTGCCACTTGGTAATTCAATGCTTGTGGAATTGTTTAGTCTATGGCCATCTCTAGGTGTACTACTGATTGAGGATAGAAACCCTACTGGTGGGGTTTGTCTTTGTAATTCCAGCACTTACCACTGTCCCTGAAGCATAGTAGGAGTTTAGTGAATACTTGTGGAGAAATAAATGAAAACAGAACATAGGTAGGTGTCTTGTCGCCCCAGGGATTGGGGACCCGGTGAGAGGTTATCTCATGAATTATTTGTTTCTCTTTACAGAGATTATTTTGCAGAGGATGATGGGGAGATGGTACCCAGAACAACTCATGCAGCAGGTAAGGAAGCTATGGGCCTTGTCTTGTTAAATTCTTGGTTTCCTGCTGGTCATAAATCCCTTGAATCACAGACCTTTAAATTCACCATGACAGTGTCCTCAGACTTTTTGTGAATTTTCAAACATGCTACTGTGGCATGTAACTCCTCACCTGGCCAGCACATGCAGTGAATCTGTATGTGAACTCTTTAGACTTTTAATGATGCTGTAATTGCAAGGTTAGAGTCACTTGTAAATTGATTAAAATAGAGTCTGCCAGAAATCTTCACTGTAATATACCATTAAAATGAGTATAATAACAGTGTCAAGCTCACAAGTGAGGTTAAGTGGGAAGAGCTCTTAGAACAGAGCCCGTGAAGGAATAAGCACCCAGTAAATATAGTTATTAATGTATTCGTAATACTTTCTCATCATTACTGCCCTAACATTAGCCAGAGAGCTACCTAAATTACAAAACCAGTGTGAAGATAGCTCTCTCTTTTCAGGTTTTCACAAAAACTTAATCATTTGAGGATTTCACTTTGCTAAGTGATCTGCCTTTTTCATACCAGCCTCAGAGCACAGATAGTTCATATGCACAATGTGGGGAAAAGTTTATAATTGGAACATGTTAGGGACTTCAGAGTCACTTAAAACTAGCATTTGTAGTTGCGTATGTTAATCTACAAGGATCACAGTGCCACCGTTATGTGACATCATCTGTTGTTCTGTTTCACTGGCAGCTTTTCTCAGTGACACTAAAGATCGTGGCCCTCCAGTGCAGTCACAGACCTGGAGAAGTGGTGAGAAGGTCCCCTTTGGGCAGACACATTACCTGAGAGCCTTTGAAAAAGCCCCTCAGGTGCAGACCCAGGCTCTCCGAGACTTTGAGAAGGTAAGTCACATGGGTGGGTAGTTACTATCCCAACTAGGAGGAGTCCCATAGGTAGTGATGTCTTATAAAACTATGATCCATGGCTTGCTCTGGTGTGGGCGTTCTTACCATAATGGCGCCTCTTGTACGAGCATGTGCCCCAATAAGCATCTGCACTATTAGCTGTGTGCCTGAGCGCTGTGGTTTGTGGGCAGTGAGTGGCCTGAGGCCACGATTCTGCTGCCTCGCCATTTTTATCCCTGGTTTACTTCTCAGATCAATTCAGGAGGTTTAAATGGCACCTGAGCCCAGGGAATCCAGTCCACATGGCTGGCATTATCCTCTCTGTAGCTGGCTTGGACACAACTCTACACATCTGGATACTGTCTGTGGTGTGAGGCGGCTCAGCCACAACCATTTGCTGCTCAACAAGAATCTGTCATTGTGGCTCAAAACTCCTGCTTCAACTCTTGACGTGCTCAGCACCTTGATATGTTTACCCTTAGATTTGGCCAGGCCAGATTATGGATAATGTAATTCAGGACCCCAGCTCCCTGTGTCCTGGATTGACCCCAGGAAGGCTGTACAGTAGAACCCATCTTCTGGCATTTATATGGCCTGCACAGTAAGACTCATCTACTGGCATTTATATGGCCTGGAAAGAGCACCCAGGATTTCTTACACCCTTGTGTGCTAAAAATAGAAATAGTTCTTTGGTGCCCCCTGGGGGTTACCCAGGTATCAGGCCACACACCAGTACTGTGTAGATGTACTCCGACCCGTGGGTTTCTTCTATTCTTCAATTGATAGCTTTTGACATAAAATAATAAAATTCCATTTTCAAAACAGGGCTAATAAAGCCGTGTTGACATGGGTTTGCCCCGCCTTCTCTCAGTTTTTAAATAGAAATGTTTCATTAGGACCTACTGTGCATCCTACCAGATTTCCTGTGGACAGAGAAGATGTGCCACGTCCCGTGGGCTTGAGAATTAAACAGCTTGTTCTTGCTTTGGCTTTGTTTTCACCCAGTGTTGTCATGGATACTGGGTGTGTGTTTTTTAAGACACAGAGAGTTTGCAGGAATATTAAGTGGCTTTTGAAGACTAAACCTCTGAACCGATGTGGTGCTGATGGTGGGAGTCGGGCTGGTAACACCCAGCCCCTCCCTCTTTGTTCACCTTTGGATTCTGCGTAAGCACCCAGGGGTGAGCAGAGTGACAGGGCTCCTCAGAGCTGGGGGCGGGGCTCTTGGAAAGCCAGTCTGCCTGCAGGTTCCTTTTGGTTGAGAGGCCATTTGGAACCTGGAAGTCGGGGGGTGTCACCTACACTGACAGAATGAATGGCCGGATGCTGTGGGGGGAGGGGAGATAAAGGGCCGAGTTGGGTGACAAACAGAAGTCACCTGACGTTCAGGTATGGAGGTCTAAGTCCTTTTCTCTTAACATCCAGGTCTAAGATCCCTGATCAGTCCTTGTTCTCAATGCTGGGGACCATGGACAGAAACCGAGGCAGGACACAGAAAAGGCCAATAGATATTTAAAATCTCTCTCCGTCTAAGTCCTTTTCTCTTAACATCCAGGTCTAAGATCACTGATTAGTCCTTGTTCTCAATGCTGGGGATCAGGGACAGAAACCGAGCCAGGACACAGAAAAGGCCAATAGGAGATATTTTAAATCTCTCTACCCTGTGTGTCAAGTAATACATAAGTAACAAGGGCTATGACACTTTTTTGTCAGAAATGTCATTGCTGGGACTAAGAAACTGACTTTTTCAGGGTTATGGAGTTTATGTACCGTGATTATAAATCCAGACAGGTTATTGGGTCAGAAAGATTCTTACATGTAAATGGTGTTGAGAAAAACTCCTTTCATGCTTTCCCCAGCATGTCTGGGATGAGGAGAATAGAGCAGCAGGTAGACAGTACTAGCTATCACATCTTGATCACTTTCTATGTGTCAGGTACTGTTTTAAGTATGTGCAGTATTATCTCACTTAATGAGAGTGGGGAGAGAGAGAAGAGGTGAAGGGAGGGAAGGAGAGGGGAGGAGAGGAGAGAAACATCTATATGAGAGGAACATCAATCAGTTGTCCCCCCACCCCCACCCCCAGTACTTGCACAGATGAGGGATTGAACCAGAAACCTAGGTATGTGCCCTGACTGGGAATCAAACCCACAACCTTTTGGTGTAGGGAAGATACTCCAATCAACTGAGCCACCTGGCCAGGGCAATACTTAATATATTTTATTTCAACTATTTTTTAGTTCATTTTTTCTAATTTTGAAATAGATATTATTACATCTGTTAGACCGATGAAGTGACCAAGACTCAAATAACTTACCTAAACCTATACTGGTTTAAAGTGACAGAACCATGATTACTCCAGTAATTTCCAAGGTTTCTAGGGAAATGAGTGGACCATTCAGAGAAAGAGTTAGATTGGCAAAATGTGCCTAGTGTGGTTTTATGTGTAGAATCGAATGGCAGATGCTATAGAAAAGCTATGGAGATGTGGGGGCCTGTGGCCATAAGGTCTAAAGGAGACCTCCACTGCTTTCTCCTGTTTACACATCTATAATAATAAAAGCATAATATGCTAATTAGACCAGACGTCCTTCCGGATGACTTTCCGGACGAAGCAGGGGCTGCGAGGGAAGCCCGGGTCCCGGGTGCAGCCGGGGGAAGGAAGGCCTAGTCTTGCAAGAAATTTTGTGCATTGGGCCTCTAGTTTTTAATAATGTTGTCTTGAACATGAAAATACCAGCAAACCCAGCTGCAGTGTTTGCCTAATTATAGTGTGATGCCAGGTTTCCCTGGTTGTCTGATAGTTTGAATCCAGCCACAGTGAGTCAGCTGGGTGAGGCTCCACCCATCCTGGAAAAATTTTCCTCTTGAATCTTGAAATCTGTGTGTGTGAATGTGTGTGGTGGTGGTGGTTGGTGGGGGTGGGAGGACAAGTCCTAGAAGGGACTTTTCTGTCTTTCTGGAGATCCGAATTCTCACAGTCTGGGTCTCCTGTTCTGGGTTAGGTGAATCGGGATCAGCTCTCCGCTGGCTTTAGGTCCAGCAGCTTCAGTGCTTCTTGGGAGTTTCTCTCTAATTACAGCCTTGGGAAGTGAATGCTACCAGTGAAGAGCATGTTCACTAAAAACAAACAACCCGGCAGTTATGCCTCCCAAACCACAGTTCTCCAAGCGTACTGACTTCTTTTTTGCTGGTGTTTGGGGCATTCAGAAAGTTATTAGAGGACCCTAGCCGGGTAGCTTAGTTGGTGGGAGTGTTGTCCCCATATGCCAAGGTTGCGGGTTTGATTCCTGGTCAGGTATCAAACATACAAGCATTAACCATTGAGTGCACAGGGAAGTGGAACAACAAAATCGATGTTTCTCTCTCTCTTCCTCTCCCTCTCTAAAATCAATCAATACATAAAAAATTTTTTAAGTTATTAGATGAGAAGGGAAGGGGGCAATCCTAAACTTTCAGCAATCATAAGGACAGAATTTTCTTTTTTCTAAACATGACTTTTCAGGAGGATTCCACAGTCATTCCACAGAACTTCAGAAACAATTTCATTCCTAAGCAACATGGCCAGATATGTATCAACACAATCTTTTTTTTTTAAAGAACTATTAATAAAAGGGCTGATTCTGAGTGATGTAGAGGATACAGAGATTCATACAAGTTACCATTCTCAAAGAGTGTACAGTCTGATTGGGGTACATGAAATTTAAGTCATCCAAGATTTAATTTAAATAACAGCTAAGGCAACAGGGGAAGAGATATCACAAGGTTAGAACATTTGCTAAGGAAATGTATGTCTTTAAAACCCAAATATTAGAAAAACATTCTAAAATTTGTATTAATATAAACATGTGTAAATGTCTCTTCTTCACTCAATGAAGAGAGCTCTGTCTTCTTCCTATGGACCTTGAGGAATTTTCATTCCAGTAATAATTTCCATTCCAAAAATAATTTTTAAAAATAGCAACGAAAGTGATGATGCCAGTTAACATCTATTGAGTGCTTACAGTGCCCAGGGCTCTATGAATGCACTTGACTTGCATTATCTTGTTCAGTTCTTATAACAGTAAACCGAGGTTGGCACAACCATTATCTTGATCTGTGCAGAGAGGGACACTGAAACCAGAAAAAGATAGTGATTGTTAGAAAGGGCTGAGCTGGGATTTGAGCAGAAGTGTACTTATGTAAGAGCCTGAACTCTTTTTAAAAATATATATATTTTTATTGATTTCAGAGAAGAAGGGAGAGGGAGAGAGAGATAGAAACATCAATGATGAGAGAGTATCACTGATCAGCTGCCTCCTGCACGCCCCACTGGAAATTGAGCCCGCAACCTGAACACGTGACCTTGACTGGAATCGAACCCGGGACCTTCCAATCTGCAATCAAATGCTTTATCCACTGAGCCAAACCAGCAAGGGCCAGAGCCTGAACTCTTAGCCACACTGTGTTTTAATCCTCACGTGAGGATATTTTTTTATTGATTTTAGAGAGAGAGGGAGGGGTAAGAGAGAGGAGAGAGAGACAGAGACAGAGACAGAGACCAGTACTATACAGGGCCTTGCAAGTTATGTAAAGGGTTTTCATTTTTATCGGAATTCCTTGGGGAACCATCAAAAGCTTCTAAACAGGGATCAGATTTTCCCTTTTGGAACATCCCTTTGGCTTCTGTATGGACTGTGGATTGGAGGAGTCAGTCTAAGGCAGAGAGGCAGTTAGGAGGCTGTGGAGTAGTCCAGACAAAGGTTGGTAGTGGTGACCGATAGGGTGAGAGAAATGGACAGGGGAAAGAGAGATGTCAGAAGCAGAAGTGACAAGACTAAGCAATTGATTGGATGTACGACCTGTGATGGAGAAGAAGCCTAAATATGACCTCCCACCAATTCATCTCTCCATTCCCATCGCAGGGTAGGGTGTCACTTGTTGTAAACTTCCAGAGCACCTTGTACTTTTCCTTTAATAACATGATATATGTATTCAGAGTCTCTCTTCTCTGTTAG